GATCACTGGAGAGACTCGGTCGATTGCAAAAACTCTACAGGCAGTAATGAGGCTTGAGAGATTTATCTGCCTGCAGGCAAGGCCTCTCCTAAACTACCCCAAATGAGACTCTAGCCTATTTTTAAAGCCCTCTTCAGAAAGAAGTTTTTTAACTCTTCTCTCCAACACAGGAATGGAGTGACGGAAAAGCAATTCATTTACATCTCAAGTCAGCATATGGGTGAGCCAATATAATTGGCCAAACAGAACTGCATTTCATGATAATGGGTAAGCTGCTCTTAGGTTGTTCATAATGAAACTGCTTTCTACCTATTGCCTATTTCTGAGGGCAGAAGTAAGAAAATCCAACCAAATTATTTCCTTCATCAGAACCTTTTCATAGCTTCCGATCAGGTTAGAAATGTAAAGAAGATTGAAGAGAAAAACCCAGTTTTAACTTACTAGTCCCAAATAGCCCATGGCTCATTCCCTCGCCTCTTTCAAGGCTGTATAATGACATGTCACTTGCTCATGAGGCTTCTCATCACTCCCCCATTCAAAACCGCAACACCTCCCAACCTATAGCTCTTTATACTTTTCTCCATGACACTTATCACCATCAATACCATATAATTTTCACTGTTTTCCCTGCCACAATGTAAACTCCACAAAAAAAAATACTTAAGTCTGTTTTGCTAACTTTCTGTGTCCTCACTATTAAAATAGAGACTGAAGCACAGCAGTTCCTCCTAACATGACTGTGAAGAGCTGGATGAGTACACGGCTTCCTGCAAGGTGCAGGGTCTTGTTTTAGCTGGCAGATGACTACCTCTCTCAAATAACACAGGACTGGTGAATATGTAACAGATGAATTCTGGTTCTCTTTAAGAATCTGAAATGAAGGAGTTTCCTCTGTACTCCTTGGAGCTTTGGCACTCCTCTGAGATACCCTGCTTCCCCTGTACCTCCAAAAGGAGGCTTCTACCTTCCTGAATCTTGATTCAAGTCAGCCAGCCACCTCTTCTCTTTCTTCTGTACTGGGTTTCCTGTAAAATGCTACTGGGGAGTAAAGTGTCCCATTGAGAAAAATAAAGTTAGGACATCCATAGCCTGGAGCACAAGACAGAAAACCATGAAAGGACATTGGACAGAGAGTATCAAGCAAACCTGGGCCTAAATCATTCAACAAATATTGATAGATCGTTCATTGTGTGCCTGGATTTGTACCTACTGCTTTATGTATTTATAAGAATACGTAAAGAGCCACACCAGAGCTAAGCTTGAATTCATGTAACAAATAGTCACATCATCCTCAGAAATTTTAGGAAATCAAAGCAGCTTTGAAGAAAAGTGTCAAGAATGTACCCTGCCAGAGGCACCTGCTGGGTCTTACGGATAATCATTAATCGGGTGAAACATGAAGAGACTGACCTTTACTTTGTGACTTTGAATAAGATCATAACTTCTTAGGACTCAATTTCCTCAACTCTAAAATAAAAGGGTTAAAAGTTAGCTGAGATGTAAAGATCCTCCCAAATGTAAAACTATGTCCAATTTTGCCTATGCACCCATGCTATGGCTGGAGTGAGCCTCCCTCCAAAAATGATGTTACAAATTAATTGCTGTTTTAACAGTATCAAAAGGTGAGACTTTAGAGGTGACTAGGCCATGAGAGTTTAGCCATGGAAATTGTGCTATTATAAAGAACAAATTTAGATGCACAGGCCACTGTTGGACCAGGAACAGCTAGACTCAAGCCTCTCCCCATGAGTCAGTGCCATTCAGGGACTGGGGGAAAGAGAACAAAGGCCACACAGGCACACACACTCAGTCTGGGAACCAGCACCATGTGCAGGCCACCACCAGACTGGGAACATTCAGACCCCAGTCCCTTCCAGAGTGCAGGCTGGTAACACAGAAGTACCAATCCCTCCCACCCACCACATAAGCAACCAGCTTATCCAGGGAAACGCAGGCTGTGACGATAGCTATGGAGGTGAAATGCAATTGCATGCCTATGGTGCTTTGGTGCTTCACCAACATTGCAGGTCTAGAGCCAGCGGTCTGATCTTAAGTTCAGAGGATGGTGATACACAGAGTGGCATCTAGGGGGATCTCCTTCCAAGGACTGTAGCCATTGTTGATTTCCTATAGTTTTGTTTTGAGGTTCTGTATTGTTTCCACTGTTTTGTTGGGTTGGGTTTTATTATGTTTCGTTTTGTTTGATTATGTTAAATCTGATGGCAAGAGAAGCTGTTTCAAGGATAACAAGATATATTATGGTAGCAATTTTAGATTTACAATTGTCTTGCTCTGAAATCCTTTATTGCACTTATTGTTTTGTTTTTATTGTTTCTATTCTATTCTGTTCTGCTTGATTTTTACTATCTGCAGATAGTAAAACAAAATTATCTGCAGCTATTTTGAAGATAAGAAAAAGGCATTATGGTAACTATTGTTACTATAATCAACTATTGTTGATTTCATAATGTCTTGAAGTCCTGTATCTCTTACACTGGTTTGTTTTGATTGGTTTTGTTCTGTTTTATTCTCTTTAAAATAAGAACAAATTTAAATAAAAATAAAAATTAAAAAAGAACAAATTTAGCCCCACCTCACATCCTTTCCTGCATTGCTCCACTCTTCTGCTCCTTCAGGGAGTTGCAACATTCTAGGCACTGACTTGAAACTGAAGTCTTGGTCCTCACCAGACACCAAAACTGCCAGTGTCTTTATCTTGAACTTCCAGTTTCCAGAACTGTAAGAAACAACCTTCTGTTCTTCACAAATTATCTAGACTCATGTCCTCTGTTATAATAGCACAAAACAGACTAAAATAACTTGCAACCAGATAACAAAAAACGTTAACATCAAGAAATAAGTTGCTGGCTGGGGATTTAGCTCAGGGCGTAAGCACCTGCCTTGCAAGCAGGCGGTCGTGAGTTCGATCCCTGGTACCGATAAAAATGAAAAAGACAAAAAAAAAAAAAAAAAAAAAAACAGTAAAAAAAAAAGAAATAAGTTGCTGAGTATAGAATGTTTTGGCCAATTCTTCTGAACATTAATAATGTATTTGGCCCAGCAAGATGATCAGTAAGCCCCAAGGAAAATCACTTAAATTAACTGGCGTTTTCTGCCATCTATGAGAAACTTTTGGTGCATTGTCCTGATTCAGTTTCAAGAATTCCATTAAAATGATGCTCAATACAAGATTTGAAGTAATTTTAAAATAAGTTATGAAATTACAATCTTTATTATTCACCATTACCATCAAGCTTGTTTTTACATTTGAGACAGTTTTCCATATTTAACATATTGAAGGGAAATGGAGCATTCTCAGTCCTGGCAAATTTGGAAATAGGAGAGCTTTCAAGACATTTCACTCCTCCAGGTTTTCAAATCAGAGCTAAAATGTCATCTGGGAATTTGTTCACTGTCATCAACTACCAAACTATCAAAAGTTAGCAGGTTAGTTCAGTAACAGTGACTGAGATTCTGCAGTCTATGGGCTTGGCAAACTTCTGTGTTGAGGTTTAGATATGTGTAAACCTCATTATACCAATGGTGCTTAATAACTTAGTCTTTACCCACGGGGGACTGAAGAAAGTGACTCAGCATCAAAAGAATCAAGTTAATAGCAATTTTTCTGAACACTGATGTTGGGGCATTCTTAATTTTAAGAAGAAAAGATGAGAAAGGGAAAGAAGATGAAAGAAATATTCTTAAAGTATGAAATGTACACTGAATTTAATGTCTATAGTTCTACCTCTGACCAGCTGTGTGGGTAGATCCCTTGAGCTCTTTGATAGAGCTCTGTAGTTCTTTGATATTGCTTTCTCATTTATCAAATAAAGGTAGCAATGCCTGTGAGAATGGAGGTGACATAAATTTCCATCATCTGATAAATGAATGAAATAAGTGTGGTACATCCAGGCAATGGCTTATTATTCAGAAATAATAAAGAATGAAGTACTCACATGTTGCAATAAGAAAACATTTTATAAGCAAAAGACCCAATCACTAAAGACTACATATTAAAGACTCAGAAAAGGTCATCTTTAGAGACAGAATATACATTCATTGCTGCCCAGGGCTGAGGGCCAAGAGATGTACAGGAAGCAAGATAATGAAGTGATTGTTACTGGGCATGGGAGTTTGGGAAAGAATGATGAAAATGTTCAAAAATTGGTTGCTGTAATGGTTTTACAGCTCCTTAAATATACTTGAATCCATTTGTTATGGGTCATGTATTTGTGCTCACACCATCAATTTTTTAAAAATTTTTTTCTGTCTGAAAGAATTTTATTTTAAAGAGAATAAAACAAAACAATAAAATGAAACAAAACCATGGGAACGATATTGGATTTCAAAAACAAGACTGTAGGAAATCAATCATAGTTACTGTAATGTACATTGTTAGCCTCTAAATAGATGCTCAGAGCACCAGACACAGGCGTGCAAAGTTAATCACACAGCACAAGCACCAAGTTGGCTCTTTACTGCAGTTGCCATCATCTCAGAAATTTCAGGTGTGTGGCTTCTAATTTCTTTTGCATCTACGTCTTCTGGACTTGTGCTGTCTGAGATTGTACCCTGCTCCTTCGTCTTGATATTTTCCTGTGTTCCTCCAAATCAACCTCTTGCTGAGTCCCGGATGTTTCCTGCATTGGCTGCCTGTTGTAGTGCAGAGGATTGGCCAAGGCACCTGGGTTCCTCCCATCCCAGGTTCTGGCTCTTGGCCCCGCCCCGGGGGGGGGGGGGGCTGCTCACTAAGGGGCACTAAGGGGCACGGATTCTTCTCCTCTGGGCCTGCAGTGGTTGGCTCACTGAGGGGCATGGCCTCTTCTCTTTCTGGTCCACAGTGGCTGGTTCACTGGGGCATCACTTCCTCTCCTCCAGGATTCGGCAGCAGGTTCGCTGTGCAGCATGGCCTCCCTTTCTCTGGCCCTGCAGTGGTGGGCTCACTGGGAGGCATGGTTTCCTCTCCTCTGGGCCTCTGGTGGTGGACTAACTGGGGGTCAAGTTGTTTCTTTCTAATGAATTGACCATTACATTTGTCTGAAATGGCCAACAAACCTAAGAAAGATACCACTTTAGACTCCTGCCGGAAACCAACAGCTTCCTAAAACTGCTGGCCTTGATTCAGGGCAAATTACACCACTAATTTTTATGTTGAAGCCCTAACCTCTAATGTGACAGTACTCAGAGGTGGAACTTTAGAGAGCTCATAGATTTAGATGTTCTCATAACAGTCAGGCCCCATAATGGGATTAGTTTCTTTATAAGAAGAGAAAAAACTAGAGCTTGTTTTCTTTCTGTCATATGAGGATACAGAAATAAAGCTGCCATGTTGTCTTAGTTACTTTTCTCATTGCTGGGACACAATACCTGACACCCAAAGTTCAAAGAGGAAAGGTTTATTTTGGCTCACAATTGTAGAGGTTTCAATCCATCATTGGTTGGCTGCAAGACAGAGTGGCAAGAGGAGAAACAGTTCATGGTGTGGCAGACAGAAGGTAGCAACCAACCAGCAGTCGCAGCAAGCTGTCTTTCCCTTGTATCCCATCCAGGCTACCAGCCTTTGCATGGTGCCACCCAGAACTATACTAATTCCAATTACTGGACTGATCTAGTACCACACATCCTTAAGCTCAGTAACACACACTCTAGATCCAGTCAGTTCCAAGCCCTGCTTAAGATCACATGATGCTGCAAGGGACATCTAGATGCAAGCCATAACACATGTGCAAGCTGGGAAGCAGACCCTCACCAGAAATCAACCCACCACCATTTTGACCTTGGACTTCCCAGCTTCTAGAACTGTGAGAAATAAATGTGTGCTGCTTAAGGCACCCAACATATGGTACTTTGTTAAGGTACACTAAATTACCCCTGAATGGAATACTTGAAACAGGTGAACTGTGGGATGGAAGTGTGGCTCAGAGGTACAGGACTTCCTTAGAGTACATGAGGCCCTGGGTTCAGTCCTCAGCACCACACACGCGCGTGCAGGCACACGAGTGATTTGTATGACATAAATTATCTCATTAAAGTTATTATCTTTTAAAAAATATTTAGATTTGTTGTGACACTAAAACTATGTAAGACATATGAAATGCTTCTTTATAAATACTATAGAATATATGCCATATAATGAGATTTAAACTTCACTCAAGGTATACTTCCAACACTAATGGACAGATCTTTGCAAAAGGGAAGGGGACCAAGGTGAGGAGGCAAGAGAATGGAAACAGGTAGAAAAAGAGAATTAAGATGTGTTATACACATGTGGCAATCTGCCAATAGGAAGGAAATCATTATGTACTATAAACATGTACCAATTAAAAAATTTTTAAACCCTGAAGGATGTATTTCCAATGCCCCTATTAGCTCAAAGTAATATTAAAGCTATCAAAGTAAGGGAAGGGGACCAAGGTGAGGAGGCAAGAGAATGGAAACAGGTAGAAAAAGAGAATTAAAAGAATTAAGTTATACACATGTGGCAATCTGCCAATAGGAAGGAAATCATTATGTACTATAAACATGTACCAATTAAAAAAATTTTAAACCCTGAAGGATGTATTTCCAATGCCACCCTATTAGCTCAAAGCAACCCAAAGTAATATTAAAGCTATCAAAGTAAGAGTTTGTCCCCACCAAATACACACTCTTAGGCCACCCTGCATGACAATCTGGATGGAGGTTGTTTCTGAGCTACGGTAGCCCTGAAGGAGTCTCTCTCACTAGGACTTGTAATTTATCTCCATTGAGGGGTAGAAGTCATGTTAAATCTTTCTCAGAGTTCTAATTGCCTCACTGCTTGGTATCTTGCTCTAAACACATGCTAACAAAGTAGATTAGGGAAAACATTGCAAAAGGTTTTGCTGGGATATTGGGAACCTACTGTAAAAAAAGAAATGACCAGGTATATGGGAGCAGGACTGGATCTTGATCTCATGTGACAATCACACTGATTTCACTCAAAAATCCATTTCCTTTGCATTTGGAGTACATAGTGATGAATACAGCTTTCTCATGTTTCACTTAACAACTGCTGCTAAAATTTTAGTGACAGAATGAGAAAGTCATTTAACTGAGATTGCCAAATGTCTAGTTAGATGATGTTGAAAATCAAACAAGGGGAGTCCAGCTGCTAAATACAATGTGCTTTGGCATAAGACCATTGATGGGAAAGAAAATAGCGCCTTTGCACCTTCCTTTGTTACACTGGGGTACAGAGGAAGTTATTTTCCATGGTTGTCCATTGATTAGGTCCACTCAGAGTGTTTATTCACTGAATTTTAGCTCCATATTGATTTTACATCTGGTCAAGCTAAAACCCAGGATGACCATGATCTTGTTGCAAACAGAGAAAGTGTAAAAACAAACTGTTTTTGTAAAACTAAAAAAAATTTAATTAAATATAAATTTTATTACCTGAAAATGTCAAACTGATTTACAACAAAAAGACTCCTAAACAGAGTTCAAAGCCAAGAACTAGACTGTGAAAATCTGAACAAATATATAAGATAAAATGTTAGCATTTAAAATGCGTGAAGAACTCCTAAAATACAAATAAAAAGGTAACAGTCCAATAGGAAAATAAAGCAAGGATCTAAAGACATAAATTCATTAAAGGGAAAACACAAGTAACTACTAAAAAAGAACCCTAAAAAAACTCATCATCACTAATAACCACAGAAATATAAATTAAATTATTAGTGATATTTTTCACTAGATAGTTAAAGCAAGCATTTGAAAATACTATAAACTGATGAAGGTTTCTAGAGAAGGATCTATTCACCAGTAATGGCTGTATAAATTAGAACAGTCGCTGCCTATTTAAACAAAAAATATCCACAACTATGAGCCAGACAGTCTATATTTTTAAATATCTAGTCATGTAAACTGTACCATATGTAAAGACACCCATTACAATATTATTTGTAGTGCTAAATAAAAGTACCTCAAATAAAATGCTGGCTATTTAAGAGGTATAATATTACATAGTAGACAAAAAAGGATTAATTCAATGTTTGTGTCATAGCCAGCTTTGTTATAGAAGTAATTTGCATTAAAACACATGACATATAATATAATGTTCATGATTATGAGTATCATGAAAAACTAGGATAGAAGGAGAAGGTTTAGACAGAGTTAAAGAGGCTTCCTTTTTAAAAAAGAAATAGATATTCATGTGTCATTTGTGTGCTTCTAAACTATGTGTTTAGTGCACAGCATGGTGACTGAAGCTGATGACAATACACTCTTGAAAAATGCTGAGAGCAGTTATTAAATGTTCTCACAATAAAAATGAAAACTATGAAATGACATATATGCTAATTAGCTAGATTTTGACCAACCCACAAGGTGCACATACTTCAAATCATGCCTCACACAACAAATACATACAATTTTACCTCTCAATTTTTTAGAGAAATAAAAAATACTCTTCAAAAATTATAAATCAAGTACATGCTTATAAAAATGCCTAAAAATAAGCCTGTCAGAACATTCAAATGTTAGAGCATGTGCTTAGCATGTGTAAAGTTCTGAGTTCAAATCCTAGCATGAAAAAAATAATAATAATTAAAGTTGATTATGGGCAGCGGATACATTCAGGATTTATAGCGAGTAGTCAAAGCTGGCGATTCATCACATGTATGGGGCTAAAGCAAGGCCAGCCCTGAAAATACAGAGCACTCAGAACAAACCACCTAAACAAGTTGTTCCAGCTCCAAGAAGGCAAGGGGCTCTCTTGGTAAGCACCTCTCTCCGGTGTGAGCCAGGAAGAGAACCAGTCAGCATTCCCTGTGAGCCTATAGGTTTGCAGGCTGGGAATCAAACATCTCCCCCTCCCCTCCAGCCCCGTTAGCAACTGGGGACAGAGGTCTGAGTATCTCTTGGGAGGATGACTGTATACAATACAGCAAATATGGAGGATCTCCTTCTATCTTCTGTTTGAAAGCAAATGTTTTCACTGTTTTGTTTCATTTTGATTAATTGTTTTACTCTATTCAATATTCTCTTTTGATTGGTTTTATAATGTTCTGTCTTTGGTTTGATTTCACTATACGTAATTGACTAGACAACTATTGTGAAGATAACAAGATACACTATGCTACCTATTTCTATTGTCCTGGTAACCTGATCTGAAGTTCTGTACTGATTTTACCACATTGTCTCAATTGGCTTTGTTCTGTCTTGTTCTGTTATATTTCTACTACCTTCAAAATAAAAAAATAATTAAAAAAAAAAAAGAAGGCAAGGAGCCCAGGCCAGCCAGGAAAACAAGTTGCTAGGCAGCAGGGTTGAAATTGACGTTCTTCTTTCAGGACTGTAGGGAGTCTATAAATAAATGTGCTATAGTGGATGAGTTGCTCCATCTCTCCTGTCAGGAGCATAAGGGCTCCATCTGACCCCAGCTTTGTGTCTTTTTTATTTTCTCATCCTCCTGCTGTCCTTTATCCCAAGAACCTCAAGAGATGCATGGGTCGTGGCAAGGATTATTTTCATACCTATGTGTTTATGCATCTTGGGTATTTTCCAAATTCCTGAAGTTAAAAAAAATAGCATGAAAAAATAATAATAATTAAAGTTGATTATGGGAAATAGATACATTCAGGATTTATAGGAGTAGTCAAAGCTGGAGATTCATCACATGTATGGGGCTAAAGCAGCTTGCTATTTAGTCCTATGGAATGACAAGCCCAATTCCGAGCGTTCTGAACTTCAAAGTGGTAAAATCACTCTACACATAAAAGTATGTTATAGGAGAGGGATAACCTACTACCTAATCCACTATTATCTATTAGATTAAACATCAGGTTCAAATCTTTATTAAGCTTTAAGCTTTCACCTTGGAAATTAGAGAGGGGACCTTGGAAGAAATGAGGAGAGCTAGTTTATTTTTGTGATTAAATATTACTACATAATTTGTCTTAAACACTTTTCCCTTTTTAAAATGTCACCATAATTATATGCTAAATATTATCTTAATGAGCCCTAGAAATTCAAGTTTTAGTTACAGGAACTCAGGAAACATGAGCTTCTAGCCTCACATCTTTTACCTCTGGCCCAGCAGGATTTGTAGGTTACGCCAGAATCCTTCATTACCTGGTTACACACTAGTGGACAATATGACATTTTGCT